AACACACTTTGATTAAACTCTTGAGAAGGTATAGAAAAGAATCTTCAAAGCTGATTGTACGAACTGCACAAGTTTTGCCTTTATTGCTCTCACTTCTCTCCCTTCCCCCCTGGGGTTGGGGGGAGGAAGCCCTCCTTGGACAGGATGCCTTCACCTGCTGGCCGCAGCTTGGGCTCAGCTCTTCCTTGTTGTTATTACCAATTTCAGGTGGTTTGGGTGCAGTGAGAAGCTGCTCTGGGCTCCCTGTGTCAGTCCGTGCTTCGAGGCATTGCGGCGTGGCAGAGCCTCCTGGTGAGGGCTTCCCCTGGCAAACCAAGGCAAAGCAGCTCTCCCTGTTACAGCTTCGTAGACTCACTGAGATTGCAAAAGAGCTCTGAGATTCCCACCCCATCCCACCGTGCCCGCTGAGCACGTCCCCAAGTGTGATGGGACACCCATTGTGTGCAGCCTGGAGCATCATAGCCTTCCCGTGCAGGAAGGAGCCTTGGTGGACACACATCTGTGTCCTGCACTGCCCTGTGCGTGCAGTGGCCCTGATTCCTGCTGCCTGTTCTTGTGGCAATGTCTCTGCCAAGTGCTGATTTTCTAATGGACTTCCTTGTGCAAATGGATGCACCCATAGCAACCTTCGACACCAGACTGCCTCCAGTGTTTGCTGTTTCCTTTTGGAGTCCATTTCACTGATTTCCCCCTATGCAATATGGGTTCCTCTTCTGTCCTTTCTGCCACCTGGCCAAAATACAACGTCCTATTCTGCAGTTCTGCCGTGTGCACCAGGTTCTGTCTCCATCTTGTTGCACAGTTGAGTGTAGTTTTGTGCCTCCGAACATGTCTGATTTCTGCTGAGAGCAGCTTGCACTGTGCCTGCATGGCACAGCGTGGATGGAAGCACACACGTTTGATGAACCTCTGGAGAAGAGCCCTGCATCTTTTGTACAAGTGATAGCTGTGTTCCTCTGATTGCCCTCCTCCTCCTGCAGCAGCCTGCATGCCTGCTTCTCTGCATTCTCAGTTAAAGCCAGGCTTGCTAAGCAGGTGCCATCATCCCTGGATCACTGACTTCTCTGCAGCTGCACAGTGATCCCGAAATGAGCCCCAGAGCAGTTTGGGCTGCAGATTGAAGCACTGAGGCTGGAGCAGATGAGGTGTCCTCCAGCACTGCCTGAGCTGTGGGATTTGCTGAGCCCTGTGCTTTCCTCTGTGCCAGGACATGTGCCTGGGTCCCAGCCTGCAGCTGCCGCGTTCAGGAGGCACCTGGGAGCCAAAGGTGCTTCACAGCCTACATGTACATCATTAGAGAGCCTCTGCTCTCATGGCAGTAATAGAAAATCTTTGTTTTCTGCTCTGTTTTTGGACTCCTGACTCCCTTACCCCTAAATCGCACTGTGGCAATGGAGGGAGCTGTCTCAGCCTTGCCTTGCGTGCAGTTACTGTGCGCTGGGGCCTCATCGAAATCTCTCAGATGCTGCAGGTGTCCTTCAGGAGAATGAACTGTAGCTGGGCTGCTGTTGTCAGAGCGTGCTGCTGGAGTTCAGTGCTCAGGAAGCTTTAGCTTTGCAGTCTGTGATGTGACCTGTAACCTCTTGTTTGCTGCTGTGCCACGCGGTGCCTCAGGGACTTCTGTGTTTGGCGCTCTGTATGGGGGTCTGTGAGCAGCAGAGCGGTCCTGAGCTGCTTTCTTCAGCCCCACTGGTGTGAGGCTGAGATGGGGGCCGTGTTTCCCTTTGCTTTTGGGGTGGGTGTGATTTTGGTGCTGAGAGCAAGCAATCTGAATGCGCAGAGTGATGGGCGCTCCTGCGCAGCGCGTGGAAATGGGCGATTAATGGGGCAGCGCGCATTGAAGCACTCTCACTGCCCCGTGGCAGAAATCAAAGTGCCTTCCCTCTTGCCAGTGAGCCCCCCAGCACCCTGTCTGTGTCCCACTGCTAACAGCTGGTGCTTGCAGTGAGCAGCTCATGATGAGCTCTGCTCCACCTCTCCCTGCACGCAGGCTGCGCTCAGCGCTCCTCGGTTCTGCCGAGACCAACGGGAGCAGAGACCTCACACAGCCCAGAAGGGTCTCTGCCAGGTGTTGCTGCTTTCTTCCCTTGCAAGATGAGTCATTGCTTGCTTTTTTTTCTTTTTTTAACTCCTCTTATTTTGAATGCTAATAATGTTGGTTTCTTTTTGGATTTTTGTTTTTGGTGTTGTTTTTTTTTTTATGGAGATCGTATTCCTTATGAGCCCCTCCTGATTGCAGATGTTCTATGATCACACGTTCACAGGATCATAGAATGGCCCGGATTGGAAGCGACCTCAAGGATCACGAAGCTGCAGCCCTGCAGCCACACGCAGGGCCACCAACCTCCGCATTGCACAGCAGCCCAGGCTGCCCAGGGCCCCATCCAACCTGGCCTCCAACACCTCCAGGGATGGACGGGGCATCACAGCCTCTCTGGGCAGCTGTTGCAGCCCCTCCCCGCTCTCACAGCACACAACTTCCCCCTGACATCCAACCTCCAGCTGCCCTCCCTCAGCTTCCAGCCGTTTCCCCTCGTCCTGCTGCCATCTCCCCTTTCCAGGAGTTGACTCCCCTCCTGTCTGTAGGCTCCCTTCAGGTCCTGCAGGCTGCACTCAGCTCACCCCCAGCTTCTCTTCTCCATGCTGAACAGCCCAGCTCCCTCAGCTTGTCTTTGTAGTGGAGGTGCTGCAGCTTTGTGGTGTCTTTATGGAGAGCGGTGAGGGGCTGGAACAGCTGCCCAGAGAGGCTGTGATGCCCCGTCCATCCCTGGAGGTGTTGGAGGCCAGGTTGGATGGGGCCCTGGGCAGCCTGGGCTGCTGTGAAATGTGGAGGTTGGTGGCCCTGCATGTGGGAGGGGTTGGAACTTCATGATCCTCGAGGTCCCTTCCAACCCTGGCCATTCTGTGATTCTATGATTCTGTGATTAAAGATGTTCAGGCCAGTGCCTTTCATCCCCAGTCAGCGTTCAGCACTTCTAGTAAAAGTAACTCTGTGCCTTTATTTCAAGAACCATGCTTGAAGGACACAGGTTGCTTTGGTTTGACAACAGATCTTTGAGAGCAGCGTGGAACTTCCTTGCATTTCCTGCGACTCTCTGCAGTTTCTGATAACTCTTAAACCCGTCAGTTACTGTGACATGCGCCCATTTCATATTTGCCTCTTTGATTTGATTAAAGTGATGTAGTACAGAATTAAATGTCTCCTGGTGGTCTGTCATGTCAGGATGACACACGGATCCAGGGCAGCCCCTGTCAGCCCAGCACGTTGAATGTCACCACTGGGAGAGCGGCCGTTCGCCCCCAACTTCAACTTCACTCCCTTGTGTTGTGTTGATGGCAGTGACCGTAGGTTGGAGTCCTGCAGACTCCCACACCTGAATCCACAGCACGTTTTACACGGCCTGGACCATTCCTCTTTCCATCAGCCATCTCTTGTTGCTTCTGGGTTCTCCTTTTGTCCGCCTTGCCCTCTGGGTGCCCTGGATGCAGGGCAAGGCACTGCCGGCAGAAATCCTCCCTCCACGTGGCTGGAACATCAGGGAACAAACACATCGAGTTGCCATGGCAGCAAGAAGGTTTACAGGAGCCTGAAATTGTTGTGCTTTGAACCTAAAATGCTCCTCAGGAAAATATTCCGAGCACAGCAGTGCTGGGAGCACTCAGGCACTCAGTGATGGAGCGGAGTGTGAGCTCTGAGATTCCCAAACCCAACCCCAACCCATCCCCCCCAACCATGTGCCCCTATGCTGCATCCACAAAGGTTCTCGAGCACCTCCAGGGGGGACTCCTCACTGCCCTGGGCAGAAGTTGGATTTGGTGATACTTGTGGGTATTCCAATCTGGGATATTCTGTGATTCGATGGAGTGAGCTGCATGTTGTTGACCATGTGTTCCCCGCTGAAGGATGCCTCACTTGAAGCACACCGAGCTTCAGAATGAAAACAGATTCATTGAGAAAAATGTGTCTTTCCTGACCTGAGGTCTGCATCACTTGGGCTCCACGGTGCACACATGCCACGGCTGCAGCGCAGCGCTCGTCCCTCTGTGGCTGTGTGAAATCCCATCTGCAGTCACCCTCCCTCTGCAGAGCTGCTGGCGGAGGTGGGATTTGGCATCTCCAGGTGGCTTTGTGCAGTCTGCTTCTTCCAGACACTGCCAAGGGTTAGGAAAAGGGTTAAGAAGGGCAGGCTTACCCCCAGAACTGAGGAGTAACTGGTGGCCAGGATCACTGCCGGTGACCATGTGCATATACCCACCTCTGGGCCAGGCTGTGGACTGCAGGGGGTCCCGCTGGTGGCCCTGACCCTCACCATGGCTTTCGCCCCACTGAGGACTCTTTGGTGCCTCCCTAGATGCTGCCTCTAAACCCTCCTGATACAACTCTTCCACTCCTTGTGCTCCCAGCCCGTGGCTGTTCCCTGGGAGAGAAGCATGCACCGTGTGCCATGCTGAGATGGGAGCTGGAAGCAGATGGAGCTTTGTCTGTTCTGGCTCCTCCTGTGCTCCCATAAGGATGTGCCTCCGCTCCTGGGTGGTGAGGTCCTGGCACTGCCGCCCAGAGTGTGGATGCCCCATCCCTGGAGGTGCTCAAGGCCATGGATGGTTTCTGAGCTGGTGGTGGGCACCGAGCCCACAGCAGGGGTGGGGGGGAAGGGGCTTTGAGTTCCCTTCCAACCCAACCATTCAATGATTCTATGACAATTCCTATCCCATCTCCGCGCTCCTTCTCTGCTACCATCTTGCTGCCCCAGCATGGCATCGAATCACAGAATCATTAAAGCTGGACAAGGCCCCTGAGATCCCCCAGCCAACCCCAACCCATCCCCACCATGCCCATTGACCGTGTCCCCAGGTGCCATATCTACTCCTTTTCCCGAGCACCTCTGGGGGCAGTGACTCCACCACTTCCCCGAGCTTCCCATCCCAACGCCGCACCACTCACCGCCCGGCTTCGCCCTGCACACCCAATCCCTAACGCCCCTTTCCTGCCTCTTTTGCAGTGCCTTTCAGAGAAACCCCCAGCTACACGAAGCGGAGACGGATCCTCGGTGCCGGCAGCCTCTCCTCCCCTCGAATTCTGCAACGCTCGGCCAGCGACAACAACCTGAAGGCAGAGAGCCGGGCGTCTTACTCTCCGGTGCCCTCCCTGCGCAGCCTCCCCCCCCAGCTGCTGGCCCAGATGCAGGAGGCTGCGGTGGGGGTCGGTGGTGGGGATGGCAGCCTGGCCAGCTCCAGCAGCGCCCGCAGCGCCCACAGCCGCTCGCCGTCCCTGCAACGTGTGCAGGAGGAGAAGGAGGTCGACCTGCCCACACTCCGGAGGAGCAGCCGCGGCAAGGCCAGGTGAGAGCTGGGTGGGCGCAGTGGGACTGGGCTGTGTCGCATTGGCACCCATGGGAGCGGTGGTGAGACACGGGCTGGCACCAGCAGTGCATGGAGAGGGGATGCTCAGGGCTTGGCGTGAGCGCAGTGGGGGGCTGCTTCAATCTTCTCCCCATCCCTCAGTCTAATTTTGCGTCTCGAAAGAATGGCGAGCACATCGATTCCATGTTGTGCTCGTTGTTGCCATGGCAATGAATGCATCTTGAAAACTAATACTTGGAGGTGGAATACTGCAGAAAAGCTGGCCCTGTATGCGTCCGAGCCGGCTTCTGGCTGTCGCTGCCTCCTGCATACCTACAGGTGGTTGCTTTCTTGAACCCACTTGGGCCTGGGAGCTGTTGGTGGGCACGGCCACGCTCCTGTTGGTGGATCAGGACCGACACTCACTGTGCTACAGAGATGGCAGTGGCCCATCCGTGTGACTTTTGTTGTCCTGCTGCGCCCTTGTCACCCAGTGACCGTGAGCAGCACCAACTCCAGCTCTGCTGCTGCTCTGCCTCTGGGTGGAACCGAGGCACCGAGTGCTGATTTTTAGGGCAGAGACCTCCCTGCTAAAATGCTGCTGCAGGGCAGGAGTTGAGGAGAAGGCCTCTTGGTGAAGGCTGGGTTCAGGCTTTGCTTCATGAAATCCTCTGTCGGAGAGTTGAACTGCAGCCATGCCTGGTGTAAAGTAATGTGTGCTGGGGGGGGTAATGGGGAGCTCCAACACTGCGTGTGCAGAGCAGGAGGCCGAAGAGTGGGTGCCAGCTGTGGGCTGTCCTTGTGCTTGCTGATGAGCAAGCAGGGAATAGGCTTGGGCAGCAAAGAGCCCATCTGCAGGTGACAGCTGTTTACATTAAACACCATGCAGATACATCTTGGAGGGTCTTCAAGGTGATCTGAAGGGATCAGGGAGACAGAAGCATGTCAGTGAATGAAAAATAAGGAGAATAAGTGCAAAATAGCTACGAGAGGAGCCACAGAATTGAACGACGCGGGTCCTGGGTGGGATTCCTAATGAACAGTTTAACCTGGGCAGGTTTGCAGGTTGTTTCCTATGCAGCTCGTTGGGGAGCTCTGCTCACTGCAAGCTTCAGAACAAAGTGTGGTGGTACCACATCACTGCAGGAGGTTTGGTGGAGGAAGACGTGGGCACAGCTTGGTGATGTGGTCGGAAGCTGTGCTGGCTCCTGTGAGTGTCTGGGGACAGACTGAGCTCCACGCACACCATGAAAACCATCGCCAGGAGTTTGATAGCAATGAAAAGATCCTCTGCTCTGAAGGGAGATTTAGGAGAGCGGGATTGTTACCTTAGAAACGACACGGATGGGAGGAAAAAAGTTAAAAATATTGGGAATATGGAACGGCTTGTGAGAGGGAAAACAGGGAACTTCTGACTGTTTCGTGGCACCAAGAAAAAAAAGAGCATGCAGTGGAATTAATGGCAAGCAAATTCAAAACCAGGATGAGACGGTGCTTTTCCCTGCAGTGAGCTCTGGAATTCACTGCCTCGGGAGCTTGCCATGCAAGGGCACAGTGTGATTATAGAAGCATTAGGAGGTCAGAGTGAGGGAAGTCACACTGTGGGCTTTTGTAATCAGTGCTTCTGGAGCTCCTCCTGGAACCGCTGGGAGCCCTGGGGACACACAGAGCAGCTCTGCCCATCCTCTGCCTACTGCCTGGGCTGGGGCATGTGATCCTTCCTGGCCATCTGCATTTAATGATGTGCATCTAAGATGTTTTATTCCATTTTTTTGTGTGTTTCTGTAGGGATGGCAGCATTCTGAGGTTCTGAGCTTGGGGCAAGTGGAACATGCACAATGCAGGTGCTGTGCTGAGCGTGGTGTGCAGGCAGTGAGGCTGGGGCAGTGGGATGAAGCCGTCCTGGTGATGGGAGGAATGTAGAGCAATGAGTTGAAGCTCAAGACTGGGAGCACTTGGTGGAGAGAAGGCTGAGGGGAATCCAAGCAGTGCTGAAGGGTGGATGATGGTCAGGAGGAGGGCGCCAGGCTCTGCTCGGTGCGCCCAGCACCAGGACAAGGGGCGGCTTCATCCCGTCTGACAAACCTGATTCCATTCTATGAGATGAGCTGCTTAGTGGATGGAGGTGAGGCTGTTGATGTGATCTACCTGGACTTCAGCAAGGCCTTTGACACTGTGACAGAATAACCGGGGTCGGAAAAGACCTTCAGGACCATCCGGTCCCAACCATCAGCTCTGTCCCCAACAACACTCATGGAGAAGCCGGCTGCCCGTGGTTTGGAGGGGCTGCGCTGCTGGGTGAAACGTTGGCGAGTGGCCGGGCACAAAGAGCTGCGATCAATGCAGGCAAATCCAGGCGTCCCCCAGGGCTCAGCACTGGGCTGATGTTCCTGTCGAACATCTTTATTAATGATCTTGATGAGGGCATCGAGTGCACCCTCAATAAGGCTGCAGGCAACAGCGAGGCAGCAGGGAGCGTCGATCTGCCAGAGGGGAGAAAGGCACTGCAGAGGGAGCTGGACAGACCGGATGGATGGGCCAGGGTTAGCTGTGTGAGTTTCAATAGGGCCGAGTGGGGGGTCTTGCATTTTGGGCACAACAACCCCTACAGGCTTGGGGAGGAGTGGCTGAAAGCTGCCTGATGGAAAGGGAGCTGGGTGTGCTGGTGGGCAGCAGCTGAGTGTGAGCCAGCGGTGTGCGCAGCTGGCCAAGAAGCCAACGGCGTCCTGCCTGGGATCAGGAGTGGTGGCAGGAGCAGGGAAGTCGTCCTGCCCTGTGCTCAGCTCTGGGGAGGCCTCACCTCGAGTGCTGGGTTCAGCGTTGGGCACCTCGGTGCAGAAGGGACGTGGAGGGGCTGCAGCGGGGCAGGGAAGGGCAGCAAGGATGGGGAAGGGCTTGGAGAGCGTGGCCTGCAAGGAGAGACTGAAGGAATGGGGCTGTTGGGTGTGGGGAAAAGGAGGCTGAGGGGAGACCTGATTGCTCTCTGCCAGCATCTGAAAGGTGATGGCAGCAGAGTGAGGTTGGTCTCTTCTGGCTGGTGACAGGACGAGGGGAAATGGCCTCGAGTTGTGCCAGGGGAGGTTGAGGTTGGATCTGAGGAAACGCGGAAAGGGCTGCGAAGCAGTGCGATGGGCTGCCAGGGAGGTGGTTGAGCCACCAGCCCTGGATGTGGTTAAAACCCATCTGGATGTGATGCTCAGGGCTGTGATTCAGTGGAGGGCTGTCAGAGTTGGGGATGGTTGGGTTGTGGTTGGACTCGATGATCTTTAAGGTCTTTTCCAACCTGAGCAATTCTATGATTCTATGATACTTACCACATCTCCGTGCTCAGTTCCCAGTGATGTTTTCTTTTCCAAGAGGAAAACACTGATAAGTGAAAGCACACCATGAACACCTGGAGTCCTCTCACATCTCCCCCCAAAATCTTGCAGGAAAATTGGTGCCGGGTCAGATTTTGATCAGAATTAAATACAAAGAAAAATCCACTGCTGCAGCACGTGTCCCCAAATCCTTTTTTCTGAGGGAGGAAACTGCCAGCAAAATTCTGATTGTTTTGCAAATATATTCGGGCTGGCAGACATAATTTAAGGGAAGAGTGGTTTAGCTGCAGCGTTTCACGTCTTCCAGGGGCGATGCTGTGTGCGTGGGCATGGGGCAGAGCTGGGGGTTGATGCACCCCGTAGGGTTTGGGGCAGCCTCTCTCTGAGCATCCCCAGTGGTGCTGTGCTGTGCCCTGAGCCCACGGCTGGGGGCTGCCCTGGAGAAGTGTTGGCGGTGCAGACGGCTGCGATCCTCCCCCAATTCCCGGAGCTCTGAGGGTCTGCAAAGCCCCGTGTGTCTGTTTGTACCCACAGCTCTGTCCCAGAGCTGCTCCGGGCAGCAGCGTGGTGCAGGTGCAGCACAACACAGCAGCGGATGACGCTGCGTGTTTTTCAGGCTGTGGTTTTGATAGCTGCTAATGCTGCGTTCCGTGAGACGTCTGATGTGTGACTCACATCCCGCGTGTGAGAGCCTCCACCTTTTTTTTCCTCCCTCAAATCCCACTCCATAACAAGTGTTTCCCTATCTGGATCGTGCTGCGGTTGATGTCTCCTGCACAGATGGAGCACCTTCAGCTTACCAGGGTCTGCTTAAACCCAAACCCTGTGCTTTCCCAGGCTTTCCCATGCTTTTGGAACACATTCTGTATCGCGTGATCCTTCAAAGATGAGCTTAAGTGTTCTTAGATTGCTTCAATCCACCCTTAAACTTCTCACTTAGATGTGCAGTCAGGCTCACCCCGACATTAATTAGTTCCCATTGCTGGTTTCCAGGTGAGCTGTTTCCTCTCAGCCCCTGCAGAGGTGCATTCCATCTCACACTGATCTTTGTATTAAAGGCTGATTCAGTGATGAGCAGACATTAAGTTGGTCTCCTTAGTTTCATCCATTGGAAGCTTTCTCTCTCTGCAGTTACCCAAAAGAGCTCCAACCATTTCCAGCTATTTGGGATCTTTTCTTGCTGTCAGTGAATTTGCAGAATGCTTTTTTGTTTGCCTTGCTTCTCGCTGCAGTGGCACTTCTTGTGATTGTGCCTTCTGGATTTTTCTATCTGGTGTGTGTATGTGTGTTTTGCCCACAGCAATCGCTGCTGTTTTTCAGTTTCTGTAGTGTTTGAAGCCTCCCCTCCAGCCTGCCCTCCCTCCAGCCTTTCTTCCCTGTCTCCCATCTTCCCTTCCTGCCTTCCTTCCTTCCCTCCTGCCTTTCTTCCTCCTGCCTCCCTCCTTTCCCTCCTACCTTCCTTCCCTCCTCCCTCCTCCTTTCCCTCCTGCCTTCCCTCCCTTCTGCCTTTCCTCCCTCCTCCTTTCCCTCCTGCCTTCCTTCCCTTCTGCCTTTCCTCTCTCCTCCTTTCCCTCCTGCCTTCCCTCCCTTCTGCCTTTCCTTCCTCCTGCTTTTCCATCTGCCTTCCCTCCTTCCTCTCCTCCCTCTCTCCCGCCTTCCTTCCCTCCCATCCCATCCACC